AAGCGTATGTAACCTGAAGCGTATGTAACCTGAGGTACCACTGTACCCCTAAATCAGCATCCTTTCTCACATGAGGACACTGAGCGCCTGTCAACTTGCATGTGTACCCAAAATCAAGATGGGGTGCTCAACCAACGCACAACTTGTTGCATCTTTCCCCCAAGGAAACAGAAGTTAAGCAAAAACTGTGAGAGGCTGGCATGGAGGGTATTGGTGGTGAGTTTTTACATATTGGCAAAAATCAGTTGTCTCTCTTGACATGTGCCTGATTCATATGCCTGCATGCGCAGATGAGAAGATTAGAAGCTAGATGCCAGTGTGAGATGTACTTGCAAGTGAGGACAACCAATGATAGATGTATGTGTTTATGTGTATATTTCTGTGTCAGCTGTCTAACATGCCAATAATTACTTGCCTTTCAGCCTGATATTTATTTGGATGCAAATCTCAAGGAGTTCAATGGGACTTACTCCCATGCAAGTGTGTATAGGACTAATGCTTTAATCTTATTAAAGTCAATGGGATGAACATAAACTTCAATCCAAGCACTTTGGATTATCCAAGTTTTGTATCACTGTGCTTAATGTGCATTTGTGTGCATGTGTATGTACATAAACATTATTGTGTATTAATGAACACACGTTAATGTAGTTATTGAACAACTTGGGAAACAAGGCAACACCCAAAATATAAACTGATAGACATCAGAAGGCAGCCCTATTTAGGGAAGTTTTTAATATTTAATGCTGTATTGTTTTTAACATTCGATTGGGAGCTGCCCAGAGTGGCTGAGGAAACTCAGCCAGATGGGCGGGGTATAAATTATTATTATTATTATTATTATTATTATTATTATTATTATTATTATTATTATTATACTGCTGGCTGGAACCTATCACTTACTAGAGCCTGTTAGAGCCAATTTTGGATACTTTGCCTACTCTTTTCTTGGCTGGCAGCAAGCATTAAGACAATTTTGATGTTTTATTTATGAGTGGTGGGAAATTGTAAAGTTTTCTTTTTTCAAAAAACAACAACCAAAAACTCCTTCTCCGCTTTCTTCCCAGCTGAAAACCATTTCCCCTCCCCTCCCATTCACCTCCCATGTTCTCGTCCATCTGCACCTTATTTGTACAAATGTTCCCGTGTCTTTAGAAATCATCTTCACACACACAAATACCCACACACCAGCCTGCTTCATATTGTGCCTTAAAACGTTTGTGAAGATTTTTGTCTCCCTCAATACGGAAAGAGAGAGAGAGAGAGAGAGAGAGAGAGAGAGAGAGAGACGTTAGCGAAGGGAGGAGGGGAGAGAGGGGAATCGCCCGGAGAAGTGCCTTATTCATTCTCCCGGGGCCCCCTCTTTAAAGCTGCTTTGCAGGGCTCTTTAATGTTGGGCAAACTGAAAAGAAAAACAATAATTAGAGATAATTGCTTGTGTCCAAACACAGGCATCAAAGCCTTTGGGACTCATTTGTCATGGGCCCTGGTGTGTGATCCAGAAAAGTGACCCTTATTTTATTTAGAGTGGGGGGACACATAGAAAGTGGCAGATGGAGGGACCCCTCTGCACTCTCCGTCAGCTCAGCTGTGTCTGCCAAGGAGAATAGGCACAGAGGCCGGGATAAAAGGGATGAAAAGGAGGGTCACAAGAGGTGGAATAATTACCAGGGTAAAGGGTAAGGGAGTGGGAAGAGTGGAGGGTACTTCACCACCACCTTGGGGTTAGCTCCATGCATGTGGCAGGCTGTCTGGGGGCTGATGGGGTGGGCATCCGCTCTCATTAACTCCATGTTTGGGGGAATCACACACATGAAAGGAGGAGGAACCTCATTAAGACAACCAAGATCTCAACTGAAGCCCTCGGTGCTGACTTCAATGGAGGTGGTGAATCACCACCTCCGGCTGAATGGGGGTGACCCGAGAGCAAATGAACACTTGATTTTATAGGATTTGGGGGTCCACCAGCCAAAATTTGATAGATAAAATATTTTTAAAAACAAAACCAAAAACCCCCACACACCACAATGTCTTCATTTGTATGTGTGCACTTACACTCTCCCTCTCCTTCCCTCTTTGGCTAGAATCTAGCTACGGGTCTGCAAAAGTTTCACAATAGCAAACGTTCATAAAAGGAGGCTTATTTTCAAAGCAGGCTGAGTTCTATTCTTTGGACCCTGTGGAAGGGGATGGCGGGGGGAGGATCCAAATGGCAAGTGGAGAGGAAGGAAGAGCTGTTCACAATTTTGATTTGAAACACAATCACTAGAAAGACATACACAGTAAACATAAGGCTGCTGGTTGCTTCTTTTTTAAAAATAATAATAATAATGGTCCGCTGTTGGCAGAAAAGTTGTGATCACTTTTACCATGTTAAAAACTCCCTATCTGAGGTTTCATACTTTATTACAGCCTCCATCTACTCCCCCCCCCTTTAATAGTGAACTGGGAACTTTTAAAAGGACACTATTTTTTTAAGCTGCTGGTATTCTCTCTCATTGCTATCCCTCATCGCAGCTTCTTTAAAACCGATCCATTAAAACGAGAGAGAAAGGAACACCTTTTAATGGAAGGAATCAATTAAAATTTGAAAAAAGCATTGGACAGACTTGCCAATAAGATAACTCTGATCAGAAAATGAACAGAGCAAGCTCAGCTATGGCACAACTCCAGAAAACCTTGTATGCTGCTGTCTTTACAACTCATTGCTTTGTATGATAAACTGGAGTGAAGGTTTTTAGCTGCCCAGCCTGCCTCTCTGTAATGAGACTGTAATGACCTAAACGATCTGTTGATTAGGGACAATAAATCTGTCCTTTTCATCCTGTCATTTCATTGGCCTGAGTAAGGTTATTGGCTTAAAATAAACTCAGCCGATTTTTCAAAAAGACTTTAAGCAGTAGGTGGGTGGGCATGAATCAAAAGTTCCCGGATGACAATCATCCTTTTTAAAAAAGAAAAAAAGAAAGGAAAGCTTTACAGGAAAAACAATAGTAGATGGGTTGTGCTCTTTGTACATGTATATTAATTTATATGAGATTCAACCTTTTATAATTAATTTTAAGTGGGATACAGCTTGCACACATATGATGTATTTTATTTTCTAGGTTTTAATCTGATTTTAATGACATATTCTCTCTCTCTCTGTGTGTGTGTATGTGTGAAAAGTTGTTCTTTCTAACTTGCAAGTTCAGAATATGGCAGAAATAATGTGTAAAACAGTATGTCTGTAATTCATAACACATTTACTATTGAAATGCCCCACTGGTGTTCGCACTTCATTGAGGTTACTTACTCAGTTGGTTTACAGACTAAGGCCTGTATGCTACATGTGCCGTGAATGCTCAGCAGGGTCAAACATGATAGGCTGAAAGTATTGATTCATTAATCATTATTAATTGCATGAAAGCCTATATGTGTAACTGCATAAAAGCCATTAACAAAGCAGTATCACAAATTAAACATTCACGAAGAAAAAATAAGATAAAAGGCAGCAATCCTGACATTTACCTGGGATTAAGCCCAATTGAATTCAATGGTGCTTAATTCTGATTAGACAAATACAGGACTGCACTGTAAAGTCTAGCAAGTATTGCACATATTCCTGTGCATGTAGACACATCGTGATATGCTCTGAGACACTAAGGGAGAAAACAATTTAGAAATTGAATGATTGATTTAGTAATTTAAAAGTTGTCAACTGAATTGGGATTGAAATAATGAAACTTAAATGTATGCATGCAAAAATTTCAGTGTACATCAAGGGAATATTACGTGAACTGGTGGCCACAGGCCTATAAGCTGTTTGTGTACAGTATTTTCAAACCAGGTATCACTTCAAGTGATAACTTGCATTGCATGAAGCAACCATCAGGGCCATTTTCCCCCCTTATTACTTTTCATCACCTCAAAGGTAGCCTGAAGAGTTAGGGAGCAAAGCACCTCATGGGTGAAGAAGTCATTAAAGCCCTGGAATTGATTAACTTTTTCACTAATCGTAATTTTACAATGTAGGCATTTGATCCAATTTTAATCACCTCTGTTCTCTGCAAAATGATTTTTTTTGGGGGGGGGATGGCAGTGCTGGAAAAGTCTATTTTGTGGCTAATGAATTTAATATGATTATTCTAAAAGTGAATAAATTGATATTATTTGAAATAGAACATCTACAGTTTAATTAAAATAATCTGATCCTAATCTGATGTAATATATTTGTTTTTCGCTTGTTAAAAAGCTAAAAAATCAATCCTATGTATTTTTGACTCAGAGGCAAGCTCCACTGTGTTTCAAAGGGCATGCTCCATAGCCCAAGTTAAGTTAATTAAACAAAATTATGTAATGCATTGAAAAGCTTAATTATTTAAAGCAATAGTATTTTAAGAAATATCATATGGAAGGGACATGGGCAACTTATTGCATCTCCTAACTAGCTAGCAGTTTTAGCAGTAATCTGCAACACGCTGATTAGGCAGTAAACCTCATGGAACCCAGTGGGGCTAACTTCTGACTAAATATGCATAGAGTTGCATTCTGAATTAGGCTATGTAAATGAATTTAGCTAAATGTCTGTGTGCAATTTACACTATTATCCACAATCCAATTTAAACATTATTAGATCGCTGCTACGTGTAGGAATACCTTTCTAAATAGCGTTTTTGAGCAAGGCAGTGTTTGGCACGCCGGCAAAACTTTTTTCTTTTACGCACGTGGGTGGGTCTGAAATTGGCTTGCAGGAATATTGGTCTTACTCTTTCTCATGCTGTTGCTCGCGTCCACAGCACAACTTTCTTTCTCCACTACAATATTTTGATGAAATGAGATCAGATCAGATCGCAAATGGGGAAAAAACCCGAAGCAAAATGCATCACATTCATTTCTTTTTCTGGGAATTGCGCTCAGCAGAGCACATGAATGGTGACTGTTCTCCTGCAACAGAAGGCAACCTGGGCTCTGCAAGAAAGGAAAGAAAAAGACGGACGGGAAGAGACAGCACGTTTTACCTTTTCCAAACGAGGGTAGTTCCAGGAAATCTCGATCCGCAAAAAACACCAATCGTTTGACCTCTCCAGATCTTCTTAAAAAAAATAAAAATCCATCTACTTTGAACTTTCCACTGTTTCCTTAAAATATTTGCAAAAAGGCAAAGCTCGCCGCTTCCGACCGTTGCAATAATCCTGCTGCGCCCCCTAGGTGTAGGAAACGAAAAGGGTCTCTATTCCTTAAGAACGTGCAAAACGGCAAAAAAAGTTGTTCTGTCCATACACCCACCCACACATCCTGCCATGTACTTAGAAATGTTTTTATTATAGGAACGACGAACAATAATGCTGTTTTCTTAAGCAGGCTGGATTTAAAGAAATAATAATAATGCTTTGCTTAACACCCCCCAAAATGTTGTACAGAGGGAACTCTAAACCCTAATATATAGGCGGTGGATTAAAATCATGAAATGTGTTGCCGGAAATAGTCTGGTCCTGTTTTCTGCCATCACTGGGGTAAGACCAATAACACCTGATAGTTAAAATTCTTCTTATTCTTATTCTTACTATTATTTTGCCATGGGAAGATATTACAGCTGAGACTCCTAAACTGCCAAGGGCTCCCCAAATGTGTATTTCAAGAGGGAAAGGATGTATCATGTATACACTGCAAGGCCTAGCAGAGAGCAAGGAAATCTGGAATGTCCAAGGATTCTAGTAGATGTCATCACAGAACCCCACACTGACTGTAAAAAAATGACTCAAACTGAATTTCAGCAGTATTGCTCCTCCTGACAGGTAGTACAGCACATTTAACATTTCGCCAGCAGCTCAACATGACTGGACAATTTTCATTCTTTGTGGGCGTTTTCCATGGCAACCTGGAAATTGCTTTGGGAGAGGAATTTGGCATTTTTTCAGCATTTCACACTAAGTGTGCCTTCTACAAATGTAGGGATGGGGGGGGGTTTCAGGCTGAGGCTTCTGTTCCTTTCTGGTCCATATTCTAAGTGCAGAACATGCCAGTGGTGGGTGGACCAAAGGCAAAAGTATGCAGACTCTTGCCTCTGTACAGTAGGCTACATTCCAGCAATGCAAAAATCCAGTGTTTCTACCCACACACACATTTCACTAGAGCAGCCAATTGGATCAGGCATGCAAAAACCAAAATTTGCACACACTCACACTCGCTGCTTTCTGCTCTGCTTTCATGGTTGGAGGCAGTAATGCTTTTGAACCCGTTGCTGGAAACCACAGGAGGGGAGAGTGCTATCGGAAACACTGGCCTGCGAGCACTCCAGTTGGAGAACAGCCTTTACCAAAGGTGTCATGGGCTCTGAAGACACTTGAACTCAGAACGCAAGGGAGAAACGTGCTAAGAGGAAGGCACGCTTGGCAAATCCACACGGTGATCAACTCCTTCCCGGAAACCCATGGCCCCACTGTGGAAGGATGTGTAGGTGCAGAACTGGCCTCCACAGCCACTTACGGATTCACTGTTAAAACCGTGTTTATGGAAGACAATCTTACTCGGCTACAAGTGATTGCCAAGCAAGAAGATTGTGCTTGGACACTGTGAGAAGGGGATGCTGCAGTCAATGGGCCATTGGCTCTTCTTATTCTCTTTCTCCCGCTCTCTTTCCAAACTCTCTGGAAAGAAGAAGGAGCTAGCTGAAGTCATTGTCACCCCTCCCCTGCTCTCCAATCTTCTTCATTATCTGGGCTACTTGGGGAAGCAGCTAAGGTCAAGCAGGATCTGACAAAACCTGGGGATTATTTTTAAGAGGGGAGAGTTGTTTGCAAACATACAAGCTTCTTATGGCAGGAACCAATGGCATAATTACTTATGTCAATATGAGTTTACGATCCCACTATCATTTCCTTGACTGTGGCGTTTTTAATGACGGGGGATGACCTTGAAGTTACTTATTAGATACACCTGAACCAGGCAATAAACTGAAACTGACTAGCTGAAGTCATCTGCGCTCTCTGACCCAACAGACAACAGCCTCCACAGCAGTAAAACCTTCAAGGGAGAAGGGAGAGTAGAAGACGCAAAAGTGTTTCTACGTCTGTCAGAACTGTGTTTTTCTCTCCCCAAGGTCTCTGATCTGGGTGTCGCTTGTTATTCTAAACCACAGGGAATAGGATAACAGAGAACTCTGTGCTTATGGCCATCCACAAACTTCAATTTACTTTGCCAGGAATAAATTGACTGGATGCAAAGGTTTCTCCAGCTAAACAGTATAAACAATACTGAAAACAAGAATTTAAAGCTGACTTTAAACATTCTCTTATCTTGGCTTGTTTGTTTCTTCGCTCTTTTTTCCACAACCCCATTTCCCCCACTCTCCTAGATGCCCAAGTGTGCCTTTTTCGATTATCAAATGTAGGATTTAAAATGTGAGTGGGGAGCTTTCTGTTGAGAGTTTTACATAAGGCTGTTCCTTATGAGCAGCAGAATCATGCTCGCCCATTAGTGATCTGATGCTGAGACCCAATGCTGCAACAGGACAATTCAGTGTAAAGGATGGTATCTCAGGAGCCCTCACCACATGACCAACTTAAAACACAGCCAGTTGTTCTTTTTCTCAAATCGGATCAAAACTGGTTTAGGGGGGAAAGGGAATCAAAATGCAGTATTTTGCATAAGAAATGACAAAATAGATATGTATTGTGTTATGTTTGCAACAGTCCTTTCCAAACCAGCATTGGGAATGCAGTGGGTGCAGAGTGAACAGGAGTGTGAACATAGCCTTTCAATATGTGTGAGTGAATGAGGGAGGGGCTGCAAGGGTAAAGAGATGTGTAAGAGACATGGACTCTCGTGCTGGGAGCAGGCAAGCACTCATACCCTCTTACGTTTTTATTGCATTCCCTGTTACCTTTACATTGCATTATAGCTCGACTCATAGATAAAACAGTGGAACCAACCATTTTGTCTCCCCTCTATACTTTCCCCATTAATAATAATAATAATTTATTATTTATACCCCACCCCTACTTTCTGAAAAAGGCCCAGGAGGAAGGAGCAAAACCACTGTATAATAGTGCCCCCAGCTCCCAGCCCCTCTAGACAGCCCAGAAGGATGTTATGGTTGATGGTGTCAAAAGCCGCTGAGAGATCCAGCAGAACCAGGAAACAGCTCTCACCTTTGTCCCTAGCCCGCCGGAGATCATCAACCAGCATGACCAAGGCAGTCCCATGATGAGGCCTGAATCCCGGTTTGAAGGGATCCAAATGGTCCGCTTCTTCTAGGCATGCCTAGAAGAGGCACTCAATCACTTGCTCAATCACCTTGCCCAAGAATGGAAGATTTGAGACTGGGCGATAGTTGGCCATATTGGCAGCATCTAAAGATGGTTTTTGAAGAAGCGGTTTGATAACTGCCTCTTTCAGCAGGTCTGGGAAGACTCCTCTCTATACTTTCCCCATTACAGTGGTACCTCTGGTTACTAACTTAATTCTTTCCGGAGGCCCATTCTTAACCCGAAACCGTTCTTAACCTGATGTACTACTTTAGCTAATGGGGCCTCCCGCTGCCACCATGCCGCTGGCACGCAATTTCTGTTCTCATCCTGAGGTGAAGTTCTTAACCCGTGGTACTACTTCCGGGTTAGCAGAGTCTGTAAGCCGAAGTGTTTGTAACCCGAGGTACCACTGTATTGCCCATCATGAATTCATTGGCATATAATATTCCAGTTTGGCCAGTAGGAGGCAGGTGACAATTAATGGGATACATGAATAAGACATTATTGTGGGGAACAGTCTTTAAAAAGAATAGCACAGTTGCTTAAATGTTGATATATTTTCCCATGAGTAACATATTTCAAAGAAGAAGCGGGGATTGTCAAAAAAAACTTTCTTGAAATACAGAGCATGGTTTTAGGGGGGAAAGCAAGTTACATCTGCAGTATTCCCCTGCTAACCATGTTGTAAAGTGGAAAAGTGTTTCCCTTTTATGTAAGTACATATTTTTAAAGCATAGAGAGGTGATCATGAGGAAAGGTCATAACTTTGTACATAGAAGATGTGCAAGTTCAATCTCTAGCATCTCCATATAGCTTTTGGGAATGCTCCTGTCTGAAACACTGAAGGAAGGCTGCTAGTCAGTGTAGGCAGTACTGAGAAACAATGGCCATCCCAATTCCTTACGTTACAAAATACTGACAAACTGAGGCCAGCAAGAGTGCACATCTCTATGACTAGGCACGACTTGCACATCCTAGGACAAGCATTCAGATTAGATTTATCCAGAGGCGCTGCTGCAACCCTGGAAAAAAAAAGTTGCCGGTGATGGAAGTGCAATGGAAGTGCAAAAGAAATTATTTCTACACTGAGAAGAGGACAAAAACACAATATAATCTTTGGGGAATAATTATAAATGGTTTGCCTGAGCAGAACAATGCATTCTACAACTGTGCTCTCTACACAGAGCAACCCTAAAATATCCATATTTAATCTGCAGTTAATTAGCTGAGCAAACAAGTCAATTAATGCATGACTCCAGTGTCACTAAAGCTGTCTTGAGGGGTAACTCTGAGAGATGAAAAACCATTTTAAGGGGATTCTACTCTAACTATTTAGACTTGCTGGATGTTCAGATTAAGATCCAGCCATGAATAATGGATTTCCAGTTGGCAGAAAAGTTTGGAGAAACAAGAAGCAGGAGAAAAAGCCATTATAAACTCCCATGTCGACGGGAGCTCAGAAGGAGTTGAGGGATCTCTGCTTAATGCCTTGCAGGGTTATTATAACTTCATGGATCACTGATTGCACAAACCATGGCAGGGAAAAGGGACCAGGTTTCAGTCCCAAAATTGTTGCCTTAACTGGATTGTGAAGATAACTGCAAACAATGACATATAAGCAATATGCTGTGGCAATCAAGTGTGATTAAGCTGAAAGCTATCCTATCTGCTAAGCTGCTTTCCATAATAGTCTTCCATCTCTCTCTCTCTCTCTCTCCCCCCATAATACTCCACCCAGCTGCCCAACTGTTTTTCAGCCCAAGCTCTGCTGTCAAAGGCACTTTAGTAGAAAAAGTTCAGGACGTCTCCTCGAAGAAGAAAACGGGCTGTGAAAATATAACATGAAAAGCTCAGATGCATTGCTTGGGTTTTTAATTTTGATTGACTTCTACACAAGTTCAGGAATAACAATGCTAAATGGATGACATGGGGGGCTGAGGA